GTGGGGAACAGAACAGGCTGACTGATGAAGTACACAGCTGAAGGGAGCAGTGGGCGGGTCAGGAGAGGTCACCTCCAGGGCTGGTGGTCAAACTCCTGCTGAAGTGACTTTAGCTTCTTAGTGCTGTGCTTTAACCCTCTGCGCCACCAGGGAGGGTCCTGTCTTAGCTTACTTTACAGGTAATGAAGTTTTCCTAAAACTCAACTCCTGTCTACTTATAAGGGTTTGGAGAAATTTCAGACACTGAAGGGTAATTAACTACTGGAAATAATGAAATGAAAGTAGGCTAAATACCTTTTTTGCTTTCTGCTTGAAGTATTTCTTTTCTCTTATGCCATAGTTTACTCAATTGTTATCTTCCTTTGGTAAGATATATATTTTCTGAGATCAAAGCTTGTCACTAAATTGTGTAACTAGAACAAAAAATAGGCATTATTTGCTCACAAAAATCATTGAAGCAACCAGAGACCCTAATAACTTTCGAGAAGATCATCAAAAAGGTAGTGCTTGAAAGTTGTTTGGTAATGACAGTGCCAGGTATGCTGAGCCACTTGATTACACTATAATTTATAAATCCTCTTTGGATATGAGATTATTTAAGTTTTAAGTGAAAGAAATCAAAGAAAGACATCCCTTGCATCTGAGAAGGACATGTTAGTTCAAGTTTTTCTTTCTAAGAGTAGATGTATAGATAATAACTCCTTTCCTTTTCAAAATATTATTTTGGTTGTTGTTGTGTTTATAAAGAAATGTACAGAAGATAAAAGACTGTCCCCAGGAGTAGAGCTTTTAACCCTGAGGTTAATTTGTTCCTTTTGGTTTTATAAGAGGTGCTATTTTCTTTTTCTTTTGAGCTTTTTAGTTACTCCTGTGCCACAGGTAACACTGACAAAATAAAGTGCTTGAAAATACAAGTGAAATTTTAAAAAATAAAAATTTTGGCAAACAAATGTATAGGTGAAACATAGTACTTAATTTGAATATTTGATAACATTTTCCCCAACAGGAATTGAAAAGATGAGCTACCTGTGGTATGATCTACATCTAAGTATGTAGGCACTCGTATTTAAGTATTCTATGCCTGCAAGATACAGAACGTGCTCACTGTTATGGAACCAGCTCATTGACAAACTTACAAGTGGGAACCTGACAATTGCAAAGAAAGGCTCGGTCCAGATACTTAAAAATCAATGCAGTTCAGTTTTTGAAATTTCAAAACAAATTGAAAAACAACAACAGTTTTTCTGGACAAAAATCTGTAAAATAATCTTAATTTAGAAAAAAAGCTTCTAATGTTGGGACTTCCTCACTCCTGGCTGGGAAGTGCAGGCTTGGATAAGAAAGGTGTGCTAGGGTGACCAGCCATCCATTTGTTCAGGAACTGAGACATTTTTCAGGGATGTGGACTTTCACATGAGGGTAGTCTCAGGTGGACAAGCTGGTTACCCTTTTCTCAGTTATCCCTTATATAAACAAGGTAGGTCAAAAGAGCTGCATTAGGCATCTATTTTGGGTTCATAATTTCTATGAAATATTGGTTCAAATATTCCTATGTTTAACTTTTTAAAAAAATCATCAAAGCTAACAGCTGCCCTAAAATAAGCCAACTACTGACTTTTTCTTACTGGTTAGTTCCTAAATAACTTTTTTTCCAATAAGAATGGGCTTTCAGAAAGTCAACTATAATAAAGAAAAATCTTTCTCAACTTGCACTAATGATTTCTAACCCTAGCTCCTTTGAGGAATATTACACACAGCTTACGTAATAAAGGTGTAGAAAAATAAAATGAGTCATCAAGGATTATAATATAGTCCCCATTTATCCAGCTTCCTTTTGGAACAGATAAATTATTTGTTTTCTTTGAATAGATGCTATGACACGGAGAAAAAATTTCTAAAACTTTGTACATGACTCCAGGTACATTACACTGAAATGATTTTCATGTGATTTCAGAGCTGCCAGGAGGGCACAGGTCACTTGAAATTGTTAGTGCAAATGTCTTCCTAAGCCTCTCCTTCAGCTAGCAAGATTTAGCTGAAGAAACCCTCTTGAATTATATGGATGCTGCACTTTAAGCCTCTTGTTTTTGCACAAAATTGAAAAACTTTGGACAAATCCATGAGAAGTAGAAGATCATGCATTACTAAATATTAAAACACAGAAAGCTAGTTAAATACATATTTATAAAGTAGAATACAGTACAGGTATCTAATGGTATTTAAATTAGTAGGGACCATCTGCAGTTGGTAACAGTGCATTGAAAAGCACAATTGAATTTAATACTGCAGTACAGTGCAGATTTCAGTCATTACATAAAAATGCCCTTTGCTTTAGGTTACGTAATAATAAATTGTACCTGTTGAAAAATATATGTGGAAAAAAGAAATAATTTTAATACAAATATGACTCATCTGTAGGCATTCATTTATTCCAATCCAGAGACCATGGTAAATGTGTTTGGATTGCTGGGCATAAAAGGGAGTGGAGATCTTTATTAAAACAGAAGGCTCCTCAAACTCCACAATGATGTCAGTAATATAGGTCCTTGGAGCACATTATTGTTTTAAGCAGAGGTCCCCACACTTTCACATTGGTTATAAAACATTATTTTGTGCTGCTGGCCTGGAATGAGAATGTCATACATCTGCAGACAATTAGAAGAAGCTGGGCTGCATGTTTGATTAGCTCAATAATAACGGGCACAAGTGTGACTCGAGGTATCTTAGTCAGATTCCCCAGACAGATTATCCTGTCATTATCATATGAAATAAGCCCCCTTTTATCAACAATTAAGTAAATCCACATTTATAAGCACTTTGCAAAATTGTGAGGTGGGAAGAAATCCAACTTAAGCCTGAAGTCATCCAAAAAACTTTTAACCCTACTTTCAGTGATACAGACCCCCAACTCCAAGTTTTAGAAATTGGTTGAATTTGTAGAACATATGTAGAACGACTCAAGTTGAAAGTACACAACCAATAAGAATAAGTATGCATTTAGCATCTATTGTAAGCAAGGTATTGAATAGCTTTAACATTTAACTAAAAAAAATTCCCCAAGAAATATTGTAAATATTTTGATATTTGCAAAATAACATACTTTGTAAAACAGCCTAAATATTTTTTGAAAATTAAATGGGATTTCATTTTTATTATTCACATTTTATTACACAGCTTTTTCTGTGGCCAGTGCATGCTGTAAAGCCTAACTATGTTTTATTCTAACATTTCATGCATTCTAGGCTTCTTTCTTCTATTTGACCACAACTGTCAATGATGGACTATAAAATATTTTGAGAAATGATACATTCATTTATATATTTTTTTATCCTAAGTACACTAGATATGCAGTGGAAGTGTGAAGAATAACTCAATGTAGAAAAGTAGATAATTTGAAAAATTTCAGCAAAGTCTTTAGTTTCACAAAAATTAATACCAAATTTTCCAATCTAATTATATATTTAAGTAACCCAATGAAACTTGTGTCTTCAAGTCAAGGTTTTTTTTTTATCAATAGCCATTCACACACACACACACACACACACACACACATGTGAAATACCCTCATGAGGTTATCTCCTTGACATAATCCTCAAATTAAACATCAGAATATCAAGCAGATGCTGAAGCATTCATCATCAATATTGGAATTCTGACTCATGACAGTAACATAAAACAGATGCTAATACAATGCTCCCTCTGAAAAGTGACACCATCACAGCATGAGTTCGCTCTTGATGTGGGGTACTTAAATTTTGAACACAAAATATAAAATAATAAAAGCCAGAACATGATAGATTTCAGTACTTCATTTATAAGTCTACTATCTTTACAGAGAAGATAAAACTCAATAGTGGAGCATAGGGGCAATTATCCAGAGGACCAGAAGATGCTTTTTTTTGTTTGTTTTACTTAATGGAACAGTTAGCTGTTGTCTATTGAACCCCTCAGTGCTGAGGGAGTAAGAAGCTCTCTTCCTCGCTCATGAGCTGGTAAAAGTTAAAAATTCCTGCGCCCTTTCCACTAGCGAAACAATGTGTATCAGGCACTTGTGGCATAAGATGGGATCTACCCAGTCAACCCTGGCAGTGAAAAAGGAGTCTGGTAACAATCTCTACCCCAAGAAGATCTGAAAGAATTTGCTAAATAGGAAAAGAGAAACAAAATCCCTTAGCACAGAACAGTTATCTAATATCTTACCTGTCTTCAAAGCTCAAGATTACTGCTTTGTTAGCATGAGTCTATAGCTGTTTCTAGAATACACAGCAATGTGTACTCTTTGTGAAAATAAGCAGAAAAACCTAGGCAGGGAATAACACAGTGCATGTGATACAAGTGAAATGTGCACAAATGAGAATTTTTAAAGAGAGGGAAATGTCAGTAAGTGCTACTTCTTCAAAGGTAACAATAAGATGCCCCTTTCTTTATTCTTCAAAGAGGCAAATAAATCAGTGGCAAATTCAATAAGAAGAAAACTAGAAACCAAAGGGCAATATGTATAGAGTAGCTTACCACTGCCATTTCAAAATCCTAATGAATAACTCAATGACTACTTCTGATAGTTGGGGTTCTGGCTCTGCTTGCGGGGTTTGAAGGCTGACTGCATGTACCACCCACATGCTGCTGGGTTCTCAAACTTGGCAGTACACTGGAATGACGTGAGGAGTTTTAAAAAAGTACTGATGCCTGGAACACCCTCCTAGAGATCGTTTTTTTTATTGGGCTGGGGTGTGACTTAGACATCTAAAACTTTCAGGTCTCCCAAATGACTAAAGATGGGCAGTTCATGTTGAGAACCACTGATGAACTCTCTGAGCCAGTTTCCTGATTTGTAAAATGATGACTACAATGGCAGCAACTACCTCTTAAAGATTACTGTCATGATTAAGTGTGATAATCCAGGCACAGCACTTAGCACACATCTGGTGTGGGGGAAGCATCTTCACCACGAAATGCACTTGGGCAAAAACTTTCTGATTAGCATAATAAGTCGTGCTTACCTTGGCACACATTTTGCTCACTCTGCTCATAGCCTGCTGCACACTGGATCCGGTGCGAAGGGTTGGAAGGAATACGCTGAGGGTCAGCTGGGTTCCTCCTGATGACAAAGTTATTTCGGCCAGTCTGCACTTCAGGGCCTGCAACTGCAGCGGCACTGGCGACAAAACCGCCCCCAGGCATCACGCCACTGGCTGCCATGCCACTGGCTGCTGCACCCCCAGGGGTTGCACCTGAGGTTGCGGCTGCATTTGCTGCTGCACCCACAGTTTCGGCTGCTGTTGTTTCTTGCTGAGGTTGTTCATTATTGACAATAATCTGGGCAGTTTTAGGAAGGCAGAGGTATCCTCCGTAGTGGTTGACGCATTTCATCCCACCTTTGCAAGCGTCTGGGACAATGTCACATTCATCAATATCTATAGTCAGTAATAAAACAAGTCAGGAGTCTTTTAGAGGGAAAGCTAGAGAAATAAATATATGTGCAGGCCTTTTTGGTGCAATACAAACAGGGCAGGTAGGGTGACACATGAGGTGGAGACAGAGAGCTGCGTTCAGATGGGAAATCTTTGAAACCGGCTTACCTTTGCACTGCTGTCTTACAGGGTCCCACTCATAACCATCTGTGCATTGCTGTGGAGAAAACATCAAAGATGAGGCTAGGAGAGAGTGAACTGGTACAGCTATTCCTTAATAAGTCACTCTAAAATCTTCATTTTTAGCAATCTTTCCTAGCTGATGGTAATTTTAACATTCCCTGTTTTTTTCTTTTTCTTTTTAAGACACACCTGTCCATTGGACCAGCTTCCTCAACTTTCCTAATGCACTTAGTACAGTTGCCCATCACTAATTTCTTAGAATTCTTACCTCTCTGTCTTGACATTAATCTTCAATCTCTGATTACGCTTTTTTTGCTTGTTTTAATTGCTTTATCCACATTGTAAATTATATCCAAAAATCAATCGAGTCTTTCTTTCTGTTTTTGGCCTTTGACCCTTCCCTTTCTTTTTAATTCCTTTTATAACATTTCAGCACCTAACCTCCCTATTATTCTCTCATAAGCCCATGCCTCCCGCTACACCCTGGCCTGCCTCCTTACTTCAGCTCATCTTGCATTTACTCACTGAACAAATCTGTTGAGTACTTTCTCATACCAGGCACCACCCTAGTCCCGGGGCATGCAAAATCAAGACCTTGTTCCTATCCTCAAGCAGCTCACAGACTAGGAGACTGAGCCAGATACACAAGATGGAGCAAGATGTCAGGTGCCATGACACAAGTGAGAATGTGGAAGAAGTGACAATCTTTGCCTGGGCCTGTGGGGTGGGCATGGCAGGGTGTAAGGGAAGGTTTTGGGGGGTAGGCCACTCAAGAACTGGGTTTTACAGGATGAGCAGGATTTTTCCATGGAGATATAAAAAATCTAGGATGAGGGGGCCATGTGTGCAAAAGTGTAAAACTGTTAAAGAGGGAAGGAGTTGCAAGTAGTCCCGGGTGGGTATGGGTGAGGTAGAAAGTTAAACAGGGCCCAAACTGGGAAGCTTATTTATGATACAGGTGGGAATTGAATTCTACCTTGAAGGTTGGTGAATCTTAAGTTTCATTTTGTGCAAGAATCACCCAGAATTCTTCTCAAATGCAAACTCCAGAGTCTGCCCAAATGATCTGATTAGGGATCTGGGCTTGGGATCTGGAATTAGAATTCATAATAAGCATCCAGGCAATTTTGATTCAGGGTACTTTTGAGAAATACTTCTGTAAGTGATGAAGTCCCTGAAAATCTTTTAAGTTGAGGAAAACATCCTCAGTTAGAGGTTTGAGGAAGATGCTTCAGGAAAGATTGAGCAAAACTAAAGTAAACCAACAAATAAACTTTGAAATTCTTTTAATAGAACAGAGAGTTGCTTACACACACAACAGATGCTTGGCAAGTCTGAGAGGTCAGTTAAGATATTTTACTAGTATCTGAAGTTAACAGGGTACAAACTAATCTCACTTTATCTCCCGAGCTAATTCTTGATAGTTTCTCCAACAGTGTCCAATGTACCACCACCCTTCTCAAGACCCAAGATTACAACTTGAACATTAATCTTTTCCAAATATTTCCTTCAAGCTCTGTTGACTTTGTGTCCATTTCTAATTTTAAGCACTTTGGTATTTAGCCTTCTAGACTTCATGATTAGACGGAGTCCTTAGATTGTCTCCATTTCTCTGCAAGGAATACACTGCCTCACTGACAATCTTCTTTACTGTCGTGGTTATGTTGCTTCTTCAATTCCCACCTGTATCAATCTCTAATACTAAATTAGAACTCACAGTGTCCTGTAGACTTCTAATCTAGTATTATTATTTCTATGTTCTTTACACTATCCAGCTCCAGTCTGACCTTGTTACTTCCTGGACTTGACTTCATTGTGTTCACATCTTTGATTACACCACTTTCTCTGATTGAGTACCTCTTCCATTTTCCTAGATTTATCTAAATTCATCATCATTTCCCTTAAGAATGAGCAGAGTCCTGCCTCCTCCGTTATGCTGGTATTGATATTTGTTACCTCCTTGCTTTTCTATTTATTTAGCAAGTTGTTTAATCTGTATAATAATATTATTTGTACTTGCTTAGGAGCTTTGTAGTTTCCAATAGCATTTTTCCCAAGGTGAATTCCCTGAGGTTAAAGTCTGAATTTTCTTAGTAAACAAATAAGCTCTTTTGATAATAGTTAGAATTGTTTATGCATACAGAAAATACTTGACACGAAAATAGCTGAATTAAACCTATCTGTAACATGACAGTGGAATATAAGACTATCTTGTGGATATGAGATCATTCTTCTGAAAGTATCTTTCAAGTCAGGCAAATGGATAGCTCACTACAACAATCTATTTGCTAAAGAAAGAAAACTTGTCATTTGTGTTAGATATTTAGTTCTAGTATATTTAATCTACTATACTGAATTTAGCTTTATGAATTGCTGATTGTATAGCCTTAAACAAATCAGTTATTCTGATCTTCAGTTCTACCATCACTACAGAGAAGATGGTACCACGTATGTCATATTTTGCTGTGAGAATAAAAGAATTTCACAGTGGAATACTCAAAAAAGACAAGTTACATCTTGTCTTTAAACCATGAATTATAAACCTAGACTCTACAGAAAATAGACCTAGTCTTAGAATGAAATCTATTATAAAAATAGTAAATCCTCGTTAGTGTGCTTAAAACTATAGTGTTTATTATACAGGGATTTTTTTTTTCTGTAAAAGATGAATAATAAAGGAGATATCAAGATAGGCACCTAGAAGAGCAATAAAATCTTTTATTATATGTAATATAAAAGCGGGTAGCTAATTTAGTCCCGGCTTCCTAAGATGTAGTAAGTTTAGCTTGAATAACAAAACATTTTAATTTGAAGATAAACAGCACATGCATTCATTTTTCTTGCTTTATTTATCTTCAACAGAGGAAGCAACTACGTTTACCATTAAGTTAACAAAATATTTATATTAAATGTTACTTGATTTATAGTGGATCTGAACAACAACAAGAACACTTGCCAGATGAAGACAAATTATTCCGGGGATAATATGATACCAAAAAGTGAGATAGTATTTATTAACAGTGATTGACATTAGCTCACATTTAAGAGTTTTATTTTTTTTTAAACATTCTTTTGAATAGGATTACTTAATTTCAAATTTGGAGCACACAGAAAATATGTTTTTCATATTCTGATCCAGGATAAATGTCGTTTGCCTCACAGCATTGATTAAAGACTGGGAAACACCACAGAGGTGCAAAGAAACCCATCAGAATTGAGGTCAGTACTGTTCTCTGTTCTCACCAATCTATTCCTTACAGTAGAGGATGAGGTTGTCAAGGTGATACTTTGAATATTTTATAAGACATTGGTTATTTCCATGCAATTAACTAATTAAACAAATATTTGGAAATATCAGATATACTGATTAAAATGTGCAAAACTGAATTTCACACACTGCATTTAAAAGCCACTTAGAATATACTTCATGCTGATAACATGGAAATCTATCCTAAAGTTGTGTATTTGAGCTATCGATTACACTATAAGTAAATGTATAGCCTTTATAGATTCTTTATAAAGACTACTTATGTTAGCACATAAGACATGCACAAGCGAGGTGATGTGCTTTTGTGGTGTTTAACATTCTTATCTGACTTGAGCCTTTCTTCACAAGTTTTGATTTCATATGCATATGTATAGGAATCTACACTTTCCAATTCCCAATACCCATTAATTTACTGGATGTGTTATTTATTTAGTTTTGTTTTGTTTTGTTTTAAAAGGGCTCCCTTTTAAAAACCTTGATCAAAGTATTACATTTTAGTCTCCATACAATTGGAGATCTAACTGAACCTTTGAAAGAATCACAGGCAATCTACAATTAATCTGAAATGTGATACATGCTAAATCCGCCACAGACTATAGTCCACATACACTGGCAGGAGAGGTTAAAGTCTCCCTGGTGTCACAAAATCCCACGGAAGCATATTAACTCAAATTCCAGCACCCCTTACCGTGTATGTGATGGTTTCTTCAGTATCCTGTGACTTTACCAGTGCCAGAGTCAGCATTGTTAGGAAAATGGCTCTTAACATTGTGAACCTCAAAGAAAACATAGGACAAATGGAAACTTAGGATCTGCTGGGGGTTTCCAGGGGAGGCAGGGATACAAATCCTTAGTTATGGCAGGGAGGCTGAGACTCCACCAGACCCAATTCTCTTTTATTTTCTCACCTCCCATTCTGCTCAGCGTCTCCCTTGGCTAGGAGGCTCCAAAGACTATAAGACTATAATGTGGCTGCAGAATGGTGTTTCTTCACCACTCAGTTGCACTGAGTGTAAGTACAATGGTCACTGAGCAGACACTTCATACTGCACCTCCAAAGCAGGCTCCAGAAAAGGGCAGCAGGACAAGGATCAAGGGTAACTAATTTCAAGAGAGATGACACTTATGTTCCTTTTTGTAAGGGTGTAGGTAAGGTGGGCAGCACCTTTCATATTCCCCTGAATATTAAGTTTTCCCCTATAAGTTTACTTTCATTTAGTCAAGGTCGTTGCATTGCTCAGCAGAAACCCCTTAGAACCAATATGAATTACCTTGGCTCAAACTCTGCCCACCCCCAAACAAAACACCCAAAACAGAAACTCGGGAAGCAATTACCTCCAGTTGTAGTAGAATACCTGTTCCTCACCGCTCTTTCTCACCTCCCCCAGTACAAACTCTGAAAGTGGCATTTCCACGCTTTTTCCTGTGCACAGCTTTGTTTTAAAATTCCAGGTTGTGTGAAGAAGCAGCCCAAAGTGTTCGATTCCCCTATCAATCCCTCTCTCCCCAACACGTTATCTCAGGATCCTGGCTGCCTATGGCCAGAATCCGGAAACTGCACGGTAATCCTAAATATTATTTAGGGGAGAAGGGCTAGCCAAGGACCCCCCAGGAAGGTGAACCCCTCTTTCTTAACCATAAACGAACAGCCGGCAGTCCCTTGAAGCAGCTCAGCGCTCCAGTTTCTAACCAGCTCCTGTGGAATCCAGGTGCGGCTCAATTCTCTCACATTGCTACCGAGAAGCATTCTACACTTCGTTTTTGGCAAAAATCTTTTCGGCTGCTGTTGGCTTGCACACACATGCCATCCCAGCAGATGTCACCTGGTATCACACACGCTGACAGATCGCATTCCGAGACCGCACACCTTCACTCCCTCGCTGCTCGAGATCCTGCACAGTCCCGGGAGTCCCGGGGAGTTCTTGGGTACAACCCTCAGGTCACCCCACTTACACCCCGGAGCGCTGCCCGGGAGCCACTGGGAGAGCTGGTGCAACCCCCGCGTTTGCGGTTCCTACCTGCGCGGTGGCGCTGCAGCCACTGGCCCCGGCAGGGAAACGAGAGCGCAGGGGAGGGCAGCCCGGTGGGTCTGAACTGGCGAGGTCTGGCAGCAGCCGCGGCGGCTAGAGCGGGAGGGGGAGGGGAGGGGGAGGGAGAGGAGGGCGAGGGGGAGAAGGAGAGGGAGGAGGAGGGGGGAGGGAGGAGGAGGAGGGAAAGGGAGGGAAAAAAGGAGGCGGAAGGGGGGCGGAGGGGAGAGCCGAGGGAGGCGCAATGGGCTGAGCCCAGCGCCTCAAGCCCTTGGCGGGAGAGCAAGTTGCAGTGTTAGGTCTGGGGCCCTCCCACAAGGGTTCTCTTGGTGCCCCCTCCAGCGCTCTCCTACTGGCTTCTGATTCCCCGGATCCTTTGGAATCCAAGGCCAAAGACGGCACGTTAGGCGATGTCCGGCTTGCTGAGCCTTGGTGATGCTCCAGCCTCTGGGCCAATTTCTCTTGACCCACAGAGCCGAAAAGATCTCTCCTAAGGAATTTCTGAGGGTCCTGAGAAATTGCTTAAGTCCCCCCTCCCCCTCCCCCTCCCCCTTTAAATTAAGTAAATTAAGCGGTTCTTCTGCTTTTTTTTTTTTTTTTAAATCTGGAGGCTTTTTGGGGGTGGGGAGCTGGAGTGGAAGGAGAGGAGGAGTCTGCATACAAAAAATGTAGTGAAAAAAACGTTCATTCAACTATGTACAACCTACTATGTGCCAGGTGTTGGGGACAGGCAAAGTCAAATTCACACTAGCGAACTTGAGGTTAAGTTTGTTCAGTCCTTCTCCTTTTCTCCTCTACTCATTCTTTCTTTCTCCCTCTCTCTCTCACTCTCCCTCTCTCTCTCTCTCTTCTCTCTCCTCTCCTGTTCACTTGCTAGGATTCCCAGTTCTTCCTTTCAAAGTTGGGGCATTTCACTCTCACCTTTTATACTCAAGTGGAATTTCAGGAATCTGGGAAGAGAAAAATTTTCTTTCAGTCATACACACAGATTGTTAACTATCTGTAAGGGCTCCAACTCTCTTAGATTAATAGTTTGCTTCCAAGGAAGTCATATCTTCTAAGAAACAAACTTCCAAATACAGTTTCATGAATGAGACAATGTGCAAATTGAAGGTGTTAAGGACTTTGACCCAGAGTGGGAAGCAAGGAGCTGCAACTTTCTCTTCCCTGTGGACCAAAGCCCTGGGTGGTGAGTTGACAGAAAGAGACTGTCAGGTCACAAAGCCTCTTTCCTTGTCTATGGCGCATGCAGTGGATTACCCAGAACTTGACAGTTTGGTAGCAAACTGATATTGGACAAAATCAGAGGAGCTTCATGACCCTGCACTTTCCTTGAATATATATGAAGTTTTTGCTAATGAATAGTTTTGGAGATTTTCGCTACCAAAAAATTTAAACTAATTTGCTTTGTCAGCTATTATTGAGCTCCAAACTTTAAAAAAAGGCATTTTTACTTTTTATAGGAAAAAGATATGTCCAGACATACCCTCTTTTTCTTTTTGAACTCATTATACCTCAGCCTTTCTCTCCAGAAACTTTCTATATCAGCCTAGAAATCTTCTCATGTTTCCAACTGCTGACTTGTTATCTTCATCTGGATACTTGTGCAGTTATGGGAATGAACGTTTCCCCAAATTGAGGGGGTAGTGTGAATACAAAGAACAAAGAAGGCATGCCCATTAATTACAGAAAATGTTTATTAAGAGCAACTTACATGCAGGCATCCTCAGCTAGCGGACAGGATTTCCAGTTGAGGCAGGGGTCACATCACCCACCAGACAGAGGTCCCCTGCTTAGTGCATGTGACCATTCTTGTGAAAGACTGATGATGCCAGTTGTCTGGAGAGGGGGGTGGTATGTCATACTCATTGTTGTGCTACTAAGATTAACAGAATTGTGTGTGATCCTGAGTACAGGTTAACACATGTGAAAGGAACAGTGGGGACATTGGCTGTCTTCCCAGGATAGGGTAGTTACTGCTCATGGGCCTACTGTGGTGTCCATACGCCACAGTCACTTTGTTTTTCCTGCAACACCTAAGGGATATTTTAAGTTAAATGTGTCTGTTCATTCTCACTTTTTCTCTCAACCTACTTCATTCAACTGCTTCCAACTGCATTCACCATCTTAATAGTAATATCATCACTGTACTTGCTCAAGTCCAAGATCATAGAGTTGTCATTTTTTCTTTTACACCCAGCATTCTTTTATTTGGCAATCCCTTTTACTTCATTTTCAAAATATATTCAGAGTCAGACTACTTCTCATCACTTCTTTTGGTTTAAGCCGCTGCAATTTTCCATCTGGACTATTGCAGTGTTTTCCTAATTGGTCTTTCTCTGTACAGTACAGCCTTCTTTCTCTATAGCCTCTTCTTAGAAGACATTTATGTAAATGGAATCCTAGAGTATGCTCACTTTCCTGTCTGTTTTCTTTCACTCAGCCAGCTTTTGAAATGCATCTTTGTTAGGAGTAATATAAGTTCATTTATTTTTATTGCTGAATTGTACTCCCTTGTATGGATATACCTTGATTTGTTTATCAGTTCATCTGTCATGGATCACAAGCTAGAAGGAAAAAGATAAATACCGGATGGTGTCACTTATAAATGTCATATAGCGAAACCAAACAAAGAGTCAGACAGACAAATTTAAAAACCAGCTAACTTTCAGAGGGGAAGGGAGAGGGGGAGGAATAAGAAAGGAGGCTGGGGGTTGGGAGAGAGCACAAAGGGTTATGGTAGAAGGCTCCAGGTGCTTTGATGGTGGGAATTATATGGTGACTACTCCCGAGTGGGGAAATCCTGTACTGTCAAACACAAGCCAAGATGTAAAACAGTGGTACTTCAATAGCAATTAAAAATAAGTAAATAATGACTTGTTTATAAGTAAAGTTGCAAAGGGCATTAATGTAGAGATCATTGTGTGGATGTGTTTTCCTTTCCTTTAGGTAAATACTCAGTAGTGAAACCACTGAGTTATATTGTAGGGGTATATTTCATTTAATAAGAAAATCGCAAGTTGTTTCCCAAAGTTACTGTGTGATTTTCCATTCCTACCAGTATTATGTGAGATTCCATTCGCTCCATCCTTGCCAATACCAACACCTGGTATTGTCAGTCATTTACAATGCTAGCCACTGTGGACAATGTGTAAGTGGTATCTCATTGTGGTTTTATTTTATATTTCTTTGCTGTCTTGCGACTTGAGTATTTTTGTATAGTTGAAAGAGCTTTTTTTTTTTAAGGTTTATTTATTTATTCATATAGAACTGGGGTACTGACCAGAGATGCGGAGGTGCGGAGGGTGAGAGGATTCACCAGGAACAGAGTGGGGAGCAGAACAGGCAGATCAACGAAGTACACTGCTGAAGAGAGCAGCGGGCTGGTCAGGAGAGGTCTGCCTCGCCATGTGGATCTCCTCCAGAGCAGGCGGGAATTGAACTCATGCGGAAGTGGCTTAAGCTTCTTAGTGCTGCGCCACCAGGGAGGGCCCTAAAGAGCTTTTTTTTAAGGTAGTCTTCCTGCAAGTCCTTTGTCAGTTCTACATGGATATGTAAATGTTTTATCCCAGTATTTCTCTTGCCTTTTCATGTATTAACACTGTCTTTGTTTTTATCCCTTATATCCCTGTCCTTTCCCCTCTCGCTCAAACTAGAAAACCTCTCTTGGTTTAATATAACCTGCTAGTTTTTATAATGATTTTGCCTTGTTGGACTGACTACTATGTGAATGTAAAATATTTGCCTTTGTCATTCTGACTTGCTTTACTACATACGATTCCATCTAACTCCTTCCATTTTTCTATAAATGGTAACATTTCATATTTCCTGTGAGTGAATGGAACTCCATTGTGTGAATATATTACCTTTTCTTGTTCTAATCTCTGTTAGTAGGCATACAGGTTGTTTCTTTGTCCAGCTATTGTAAATGTTTTAGGGCATGTAATTTTTTGACTTGACACTTTCATGTTCTTCTGATAGATACGAATTTTTGGGTGATATAGCATTTCCATTCTTAGTTTCTTAAAGTAACTACAGGTTGCTTTCCAAAATGGTTGCATCATCATTTACATTCCCACTAACATTTAATGAGGCAGATCTTTTTTCTCTGTGATCTCTCCAGCACTTGTTGTTGGAAGTCTTTAGTATGTGCCAGTCTCACAGATGTAAGATGACAATATGGTTTTTGATCTACATCTACCTCATTGAAAGTGATGACGAACATTTCCCCCTGTATCTGCTGGCTCTCTGGCTATCCTCTTTGGTGAACTGTCCATTGAAATTGCTGCCCATTTATTAACTGGGTTGTTTCTAAAATTGTATAAATTTAAAAAATATTTGTTGCAAATTAACCCCATATCAGTTGTGTGACATGTACATATTCTCTCTCATTCAGTGGGATGCCCTTTCAATTTACTTTCTTTTGTTTTGTAAAAGATTTTTAATTTGAAGAACCCAACTGTTTGGTTTTACTTTTATTTCCCTTGCCTTTGTGGCTGAGTCTCAAAAAAACACCTTTATTGTTGATGTCGTGATAAGTATTGCCAATGATTTCTTCTATATATTTTGTTGTTGTACATCTTATAATTAAACCCTCCATCCATTTTGAATTTACTTTTGTATATGGAGTGAGAGAATCATCGTGGTATATGATTCTTTCTGAAGTGAATGGTGAATGGAATTTATTTTCCTTTTCTGACCTATTCTTACTATTCTTAAATCTGATTCGTGGTTTGACATACACCATATATATCCAGCCCATATCCTAAGTCTATTCTAATAGATGCACATACATGCATGCACATATATACCTGTACATACATATACCATTAAAAACATGTATACAGAAGATAATGTATATTTATTAAGTTGATTGCTAACATGAATACTAACCCATGGCCTATGTTTTTAAAAGGGTATCAGTGATATACATGGAAGTTGGATTGCAGCTTTGACAAATTTGCATTTCTGTGACATTAATTTGCCTCAAGTATGTCATTGATGAGTTCTTGTTTTAGTGAGTGCCAATGTACTCTTCAGAATATATTTGGTGAAGCTCTCTTTCTGAATGCCAAACAGACACAAAAGTTTCAGTCA